GGGCCGGGCCCCTCTCGGCTCCGCTCCGCGCCGGCCTGTCCGCCTCGAGCGCCGCCCGGGCCCTGGAGAACTTCTCTCGGCGCGGGCCCTGGAGCGTGTCAAGTTGAGGCGGCAGCTCGCGGTAGACTCGCGAAGCCCATTGTTGGACTCCGTTCTCCGGAAAACAAGTTCTGTGGGTTTCTGTTCATTCGCCGCAGAGTCATCGGAATACGCCAAAACCAGCTCGGAGTATTTAAATCTCCTTCCGAGCGATTTTTTAACTCCGGTGTTGCGACTCCAACGTAGACCTGGTCACGAATGCCTCCCTGGCGAATATGAGCGAGGGGGGTGGTCCTTCTTTCGGCTGCAAGGACCTCCCTCTTAAAGAAGCCCTCTCGCTGTTAACTCGGAGGGGGTCTCCTAGCTCCTTCTCGCTGTGATCACAAAGGAGACTTGGTTGTAGGTGGACAGAATGAGTCCGTGGATGTACCTGTGTGTCCTGACGTTTCAACCTCAGAGCTTCGTGTAATTTTCTCGGTACTTAACAATTTCTCTGTGGGTCGGCTGGAGCTTTGTTTATGTTTTGCTTTTATGGGAGGAGCACTTGGTAGTTGTTTCCTTTCATCCTCACAACACTTGTTAACGTGGCCATTGTCCTAGTTTGTTAATGTGAAGTTTACTTTGATTTTGTCCTCAAGGTCATGTTGCAGGTAGGCAGCAAGTGGGAAAGGGATTTCAGATTTCCAGCCACAGGAAAGTCTCCTAAGTGGTGGTGGTGGTGGTTGCGCTGTCTTGGCTCTCGAGTTAGATTGCCTGGATTCAGATCTCGGTTTCACCACTTTCTAGCTCTGTGACCTTGGGCAAGTTACTCAGTCTCACTGCTGCTTCTGTAATGTGGGAATAATCATAAGTTAGTCGGAAGTAAATGCGTTAGTACGTGTAAAGCTGCTAGAAACGGTGCCTGGCACGAAGAATCAGCTTAGTAATTAGCGGCTGCTGTTAGTTTAAATTTGCTTCTTAAATGTTTAAATATTATTAGGAAGTCAGGTGAGTATTTAAGTCCTGGCTTTGGGTGACTGTCTTTAGAAAGCTCTGTATTTAGGAGTCATTGGGCTGAGAAAATGAACTGGGACTTAACTAATATTTTTCAGGAGAGGGGTGGTTGAAGAGTCATTTAATTACAAACGTTTCCTGGAGTAGTTAGTGGTGGTGCCTCAGAATTTTAAGAGATAGTTAAATAATGAAAAGCCCATCAGGACCCCAGTCGAATTCTGTTCCCGCTGTACTTTTGGATCTTACTTAATCAGTGTGTTTGGCTCCCAAATCAACGACTCCAGAGTTTCTCAGTGTACTCCTAGGTTCTTAGTGAGATTTGAAAAGTTACTGTGGATTGAGATACACTTCAGTGAAGATAGTTTGGGGAGTAACTCTTCCCTGGATGGACACTTTGGAAACTGTTTTGCATTTCAGTATGTGTGATCAGGGAGTCTAGAATATCTAACAAAATGCCATCCACTCAGTCACACACATGCTCACTATCCTTTAGTTCCTGCCCTGAGCTCTTCCCCCTGTACTTGAAACCGTCCTTGCTTTTCCCTTGTATTACTTGTTTGGGACCTGGCCTGCTCTGTTGCACTGGGGAAGTGTTATTTTGATAGACTCAATCTTAAGCAGAGATGAGCATCTTGCTGGTGTAACTTACTCAAGAACGGAAAGAAGATTGTTTTAGATTAGAAAACTAGCTCTTGTGTAAGGTATAGCAAAACAAAAACTTGCTAGTTTCAGTTAACTACTTGGGAATTTGAGAATCAGACCACAACAGAAGACAAACAGGGATAAAAGTAAGACTTTAACAGAATGAGGTTTGCTTAGCCTCTTTAAGATACAGTTTTGCATCAGTTTGGTTCAGAGTTAATGTGCTTATTACAGATAAAAACATCTTTTTAAAAATGCTGTTTGCAGGATTGGTATTTAGTTTATTTCTATGATAAACTTGTATCTTTCCATTTTATATTTTAGATATTTGAGAGAGCCTGTGAGTATACATTGGTCTAAAATTTTACAGTATTTTATTACTCTTAAGAATAATGATAGTGACAGTGAAATTCTTCTAACCATCTGCTCAGCTGAAACGGCATTGTTTATTTCATAAAAAGCACAGGAGGCTGTGGTTGGTCTTCCTCATAAGTCAAGATCTGAGCCCTGGTGTGGGCTGAGTAGTGTTCGCTACTTTTTCTTAGGTGAGATGGACAGAAAATACAGACCTGGCCTTTTGGTTTTAAGCCCTTTTCTTATTTCTTTCCTTTCTTAAGGGAACCTCAAATGATTGGTTTTTGATTTACTCTAGATCAATGGTTCTCAGCTGGGGGATGATTTTGCCCCAAAGAAACATTCGGCAATGTCTGAAGACACTTTTGCTTGTCACACTTGTGGAGTTGGTCACTGTACTGTTGGCTTCTAGAGGGTAGAGACCAGGGATGCTGCTAAACATCCTGTGGTGCACAGGAAGGCACCCCACACCCCCTGACAGATGATTCTCAACCCCAACTATCAGTAGTGCCAAGAGTGAGAAACCCTGGATAAATGCTACACTGGCCTACATTATAGTCATTTGGGATACTTTTTAAGACTGTGGGTGATGGACCCCACCTCTAGAAATTTGTGATGAGAGTTTTAAAACCTCCCCAAGTGATACTGAAGTGCAGCTAAGTTTTGGAACCACTGTTCTAGACCACAGATTTTGGGGACTACTGCTGGGTCAAGGAATCCTTTATGTTGTCTGTGAACTCTGTCTATACCTAGATCCTACCTTGGAGATTTCCCTACCTTAGTAGGGAAAGATATGTGTATTATTATTTTCAGATGCCCTAAGACTGGACTTTAAAAGAATTTTTAAATGAATTTGTTCTATAAAGTAATTGAGAAACTTTTCTGTTGCTTTATAAGACTACATCCCATATTGTGCTGAAACTTAGCACTCTCAGGTATTTAGGTTGTCTGTGCTAAATAACCTCATCCTACTGTGACTTTTGAGTTTTGTATCTTTTGCCCTCTTCCAGTCAGTCAGCTGTCAGTTCTGATTTTAGATGCCAGCTTCATCATCGTCTTTTTTTTTTCTTTTTTTAATTTTTTAAATGAAGGCCTGTTTCCACAGAGCCCTGAATCAGTTTGCCAGTTGTGCCCTTTGAAGACAAGAGAGAGGCAAGCTCTGTGCTTAACCTTTTAACACAGTGACTCTTTCTGGCTAGTAAAGGGGGCTCCTCTGTGCCCCGGACCCTGACCCAATTAGGCAAGTGTTTTTCCTCCTGGAGAGGTGAGGCGCAGTAGAAGAGAGAAGAGCAGAGGTCCTTTTCTCATACACGCTTAGAATTTAGATGATCTAGTTTATTGAATGGAAGAATGTTAGTATAAAAACCATACACATTTTCAGCAACTGAACGTTAAAATCTGGACATATGAAGGGGAGAAGAGCAGGAAGGCACTTTCTAATCCTTCGTCCTTAAATTCAGCCTATGGCCATGTTGAGAATGACAAGTGACCACTCCAATCTTCTAATCTTCATTTATTTGATCAGCAGCTATATTGAGTCCTTACTCTGTCGGAAACTGTGTTAGGGATTCACTCATGAACAGGCACTTAAGGACTTGCAGTCTGTGGGGAAAGGCAGCTTTGACAAGCGAGATGATGTCCTTTTTGGCTGTGAGACCAGATAACACAGATTGTTAGATTTGTACATAATTTAAGTAAGTTTGTGACTTTGTGAGAGGTTCTAGAGGCTTCAGAGGAAAGAGCTTATGTTTGCTGGTTGGGTGGTTAAGATTGCCAGAAGTTTCTTGCCCCAGAATAAAATTGTTACACTTTTGTTTTTCCTGTGTATTAGTTACTTTCACTTGCCTCCTTGGTTTGTTGTGTCTTAAAAAGTAATGCTGTTCTTCCCCAGCTGGTGAAGCTGTTTAGTAATGACAGATAGGATCTACCTCTATTGTCTTTGCTCCTTGTATGTTCGTCAGTCACTGGATCTAACTTGCACTGTTGACTGGTGCAGTGAACCTAGACATAGTGAGCACCCTTGAAATCGATGGTGCTTCCTGTGGGAATGGGTTTCCTCTGC